AGCTTGTGATACGCTAAGAGCCTTGAGTTTAGTACACCATTTCTCTTGGTTGGTCTAGGGAGGTTAGAGTGGTTGCACTTAGGGTAGAGTTTACTGTGGAACTGAGGACCTTATACTATAAGAAACATGGTGATTGTACCATACCATTGTCAATTCTCGGGCTGTGGTGCGGCAAATGCCGTACCGTAAAACGTACGGTTTGGCCATTCCTATGAGGCTTATAGGTCCATTGCTAGTGCTTCGGAAATTTTTCAGTAGTTTGATTTTTCCTCGTCGTTTTTACTGGAAGGGGGAGCAAGTGACTGATGTCAGATGTCGAAGGTGAGCGCTGACAGACTGGTGTTGTGTGAAAGGTCGTACATGTGGTAGAATTCGTGTACGAATCGGATGGGGACTACTACGTCGATGAAGACTACGATGTTGACGAGGAGGAGGAGATGGACGATGATGCTGTTGAGCTCGAGAACGCTTATTATGATGCCACTGGTGGGCTCGGCTGAGGGGAAGTGGAATGGGAGGGATCAATTCAGACCACTTCCGATCGAACCCCGCTGTAGCGTTGGAGCACTTTAATAAGGTCATCAGACTGGAGAAGGAGACGATGAAGGACGACTCGATCGCGTGGTGGGTATTGTTGTGTCCAGGAGTGTAGGAATGGAGAGGCAGCTACTTGTAGGCGGTTCAAGGCACTTCGTCATGTTGTGGTATTGCAATGCCGATTGGGGTATCCCTCGGACGTAGTGGAGGCTTCGTATAGGCAACTGTTGTCTTATATGGGACGGGTCTCAAAGAATGAGGCTCAGGAGGCGATCGATTTTGTTATTGATGCGGTAAGGCGGTGGAAGACTTCTAAAAGGATACTATCGGGGACCTCATCTGTATCTTACCACGTCGAACCTAAGATACTTAGTTCCTCAGTTGTCCCCGACCACCGTGAGTAGCATGTCAGGAGGACCGCCGCCGTCACCTGAGGAAGAAGCGTCGGGGGATAGTCAACTCCAGGCAGTGTAGGGGCTATTTTGGAGGTGTTGGTGATGATGATGCTGTAGGTATGAGCTTACTCTGGAGGCTCTGAAGAGTGCTAGGAATGATCGGCTGTGGTTCGCTACGTCGTTGAAGTTGGCGAGGCTCTATTTGGCTAAGGGCCAGACTGATAGAATAAAGAAGGTAGTCCTGGGATTTGAACCAGGGTGCTTTCGGAAGAGGAAATTGTGACCTTTGCAGGTCCTCGCTGAGCTACACTCACATGTTGAAGACTTCGACTACAGTGGTGATGAGGGTGCTAAGAGTGCTAAACTCCTCGATGTATTAGTTCACCATATAGGGGGTTGGAGTCGCCATCATTCAGGTGTACTCCCTGGAGCTGCAAGTTGCCGTAGCAGAGAAGGACAATGCCAAAGTGCGCGGCATCTACCCCAAGACGCTCAGTCTCACGCATACCATCGCGGACCCTCGTAATGTGGCGGTTATACGTGAGAGCGGTGGGAAACTGTTTATGGCGGAGCGAAGGTGGAATGATGCTTATAATGAGTTCTTTGAATCCTTCAAGAACTACCAAGAGGCTGGCAATACTCGGGCCAAGACTATACTGAAGTGAGGCAGGGACTTGTTGCTGCCTTTGCCCTCAGCGTAGTAGGTATGTTGTATTGGCATCGATGCTCTCACTATCTGATATCAACCCGTTTGACTCGAGGGAAGCGAAAGTGTAGTACATAGTTGCGGTAGATGGTATGACAATAATCGTGCTAAGGTATCAGAATGACCCCGAGGTGTCCGTTATGTCCGAGATAAGGCGACTGTATGAGGCGGGAGATGTGAAGGCGTTGAGTGGACTTCTTCATAACAATACAAGGTGGGCTTCTGGCTTGGCTCTGATAGGTTTTCAGAGTTGTTGCTAGCATTACTCGCGATGCCTTCATCAAGGAGTACGTCGGCATACTACTACTGAATGTGCGTCTGAAGGTGCTGGAGGCGCTGGTGAGGCCGTATCGTCGGGTGCGACTGGTTTATCTGGCAGATGTAAGTAGACTGATTTACGGTTTGGGAAATTCGCAATCTCAGTCGCTGTGTATGCCTGAGGAGGAGTTGAGAGCCCTTGTTGTGAGACTGATAGAAGAGGGACGAGTTGACGGCGGGAGAATCACTGTAGCTGAGAATGAGAGCTTCTTGGAAGTTCCCAGCAAGTACGTAAGGCTCGAAGGCGCGTTGGATTTTAATCTCCTTTTCAGAGTTGAGCGGGCTGCCACTGCGGCATCTTCAGCTCATTATGATGCTATACGAAATTGGCTAGATTCTGCTAATAAGCTGTCGGAAATGTGCTCGGCGATGGTGTTGTCTCTACCGTCCGTGGAGAGAACTAGTGAGGCAGCTGAGTCTACTCGGGCTCGGCACCGGACGAGACATGCCCATCCTGGAGGGCGTCCTGAAGGGCTTCCTCGGTGGCAACATATAGCTCGAGAGTAGGGAGGAGTTGGGCGTGTCTCAGGGAAGTTGCTCTTTTTATAGGTCTTCTGATGGCACTCAGAGTGTTGATGATGATGGTGACACTGTGATGGACGCAGGAGTGGGGATGAGCGCACCTCGGCGTCGGCTGGTCGAAGATCCCTAGGCTTGATGCTCTATCACACGGTCTACTTGCTATGATGCCACAATTGGTAGTGTTTCCTGTGATGTGGTAGAGGTTTGTGTTGGACTGGCCAGAAGAAATGTCGGGAGAGTGGTACGATGAGTATGCGTGCCGTTGGGGGAACGATACTATTATGGTGGGACTTTCCTTTCAATGCATTCCTGGAAATTATATATCAATATCATCGTGTATAATATTCAAGTACTCATATTGTATTCATCAATATTGATTCAGAGTAGGTTGTTTTGGGGGTCTATGAAGTCACCGCAATCTGAAGATGGAGATCTGATCGTCACCCACAGAGTATTCAAACCTAGAGGAGCGACGCAGCTGGAGAGGCGACGGAAAGCCCTGCAGGCACAGAGGGCTAAGTTGAGGGAGGAGCGGTTGGAAGAACTCCGACAGGTATAGCTGAGTGGGTTCCACTGTGATGGAGAGTTGGCCTGTAGATAGCACAAGTAACGGAGGCTGATGACAATGAGAGAATCGAAATCGACTTGCCGCTGGCGGAGGAGGAGGTGGCTGATGATGTGGAGGGGGAAGATGAGGAAATGGGAAAGGAAAAGGCGGCGAAAAAAAGAGGCAAACAGCGACGGAAAGTGAAGAGGTTTCGCTTCTGGGCTAATCAGCTGATGTGAGGTTGGACTGTGTGGTGAGAGTCTGATGACTCGGGTTGTGGTGTAGGTATCCAGACTGGCTGGTTGAGGTTCCTGAAGACCTGAGCACATTGTGGTTGGTGAAGATCAGACCGGAGGGGAAGCATTGTCTATTGATTATACATGCAGGTAAGGCCGGCTTGGCTTGTAATGTGGAAATATCTTGAGGTTGGGATCGTATGATACGGAATAGGTCGCCCTGTGGCATCTCTTGTATAATCAAGAATCATATTAGAAGTCACGGCTTATGATCCTCAGGGACGGCAACTCTCCGTAGCAAAAACGGCCGCTACTATTGGAGCTATTATGTTGGGCCGGAGTTCGCTGGTATGGGCCTCACGGTCTTGGATGTGGTTTATCCCGACACGACGCCGGGCTTCCGCAGGGCTATGTGGGTTCGCCTCCTCGTTGGTTTGTGTGATGGTGCTGATTATTCTCAGATTTGTGATGGACGTGATTATTTGGAATCACAGTGAACTTACTTCCGCGGACGCGGAGTGCCGACATTACTGGCTAAAGTCAAGGCTAGAAGATATGAACACGCGGCGGGAAGATCTTTTCGGGGGAGACTCCTCTATGATGGGCATTGATGCTAGTGGTGACGATGATGACACAATGCTGCCGGACCTCGTATACGTCCCGGTACAACGGGAAGTGGCTGAGTTACACTCACTGTGATTGTGGGGTCGTCTCAGGCGTTTGATGCGACGCCTGAGGTTATCGCCTCCCTCTATAATGGAGACCATGATGGTATTGACTATCAACCGGATAGTCTAATCTTCATGCACAAGCAAGGCTTGTACTGGCAAGGCCTCACACCTCTGGTAGGCTCCACCTACGGTCGTCAAGTATTGTTGATCTCGTCGCAGGTGTTGTGTTATAGGGACGAGCACCTGTCGCGTTTCTATATCGATACTGCGGACGAGGGAGGGTATTCGTCCAAGAGCGGCGGCACGGCTATGCCGGTGGTCTTGCAAGTATGGAGGCCTTCGAGTGCAGTAGTTGCTGAATGCGACGCGGGAGCTGGCACGAGCAAAGGGGAAGATGCCGAGAAGCAAAAGAGTCCTTTATACCTTCGTATGAATTTGATCGGTTGTTTTCTCGCTTGGAAATGGCCTTGAACAGGTACGTGGGACAAAATTGTTGTAGCGGAGGTTCCTGATGGTCTTCGTAGTGGCGTTAAGCCAAGGCAGCTGGTCCGGGTCCAAGTAGCGGTCGAACACGACGGTGCACCAGTGTGCATGGAGAGAGGCAATATTGAAGGAATTGATGCTGCGGAGTTGAGGGGAATACAGTGGGATACGTTGAAGTCTGTTCCAAGTGAGGACTTGAGGTCGATGTCGAATCCTGAGTATGTGCGATCAGGTTCTCGCCTTTTCCCGGACTCCTGGTCCAGAATACTCAATCAAGAGCATCTGCGACGGTGTGGGAAGAATATAGCGACTATTGAGGATATCACTGCAGAGAGCTCCAATATGGAGTCCTGATCTACTGATACTGTTCATCACTATTGCATTTGCACAATGGTGTTTCTACTTTCTCTCTGTGTTGGAGTTGTCAACGTTGTAACGAGTCGCAATAGAAGGCCGCTGCTTCTCATGTACTGTCACCCCGAGGTGTCACCGGGGGTATCCAGAGGTTAGTAAGGCCGCTGTGGCTGAGGTGTTTCCGAATAGATCAGTATCACTTCGAAGTCTAGCAAGATTTCAGCGGGGTCCCCACTCCTCCACGAGCTGGGTGCATTGTACTCTCAAATCACTTTTTCTTGTTTATTGTATGTCGCCACCGCATCACGTTGTTGATGATGTGACGGCGAGTGCTTCTCTGCATGCAGATCATGCAATGCAGAAGCTCTATAGTACTTGTGATCTATTCCAGAGTGTACGCTGGGCTAGGTTGAAGGTGTTTGTTGTCTGTAGCTGGCATGTCTTATGATTCCACCCGTATCGTAACGTTGGCAGTACTCTAGTCGTAATTCTACGCACAGGCGGCGTGAGCTTTCAGTCGGTGATGCCGATTCGGCGTTTATTTAGCGAACTCTACGACCTTCTCATAGGAGCACATTGGTCCTCGTTCAGAGCACCCGACTGCACTGTAGTTCTGTCTTTCGTTTTGTATGCTCAATCGAGGACTTGGAGGAGAGATGGTGCGCGGGATTCCCGAGGATCGCTTTGATCGACCTCGAGCCAGCGAACTATCATATACTAACTCGCTTTTCCCACCTGAGAGCTCACCGTGGGGTACCATAGGCAACATACGAGGAGGAGAGGGTGACACGAACATCCCGAATCAACGACCACGGATTCCGCGAAGCTCTCTGCTACGTGTGGACACGGTTACACAAGAGGTTTCTGACCACTTCCCACAGGTCATTCAGTAGCTATGATATTGCTAGACCACTGCTTAACAGGTCTATTGGGTGCACCCTTCTATACCGGTCATGACGTGGAATGTGATGACTCGGGCTCGATTCGATCGAATTAGAGAACATCGTAACAACGCCTTCAGCAAGAATGAGAATATCGAACAATATGCCAGGCGTAGACCCGCGGTGACCCAATTTGTTATTTAGGTTTGCCCTCAGGTATCCTGGGTCCGGCCTTGCATGTTGTCCGCGAGTTTTTCCTGCAATATCCATCCACGGCGGTGTGTTGTTTACAGGAGTTCTCGACGAACCAACTCCTCCAGGAGGAGTTCGCCTCGAAGTTGCAGCAATCATTACCGGAGCGTAGCGGCCTCAGCGAGATGGGCTATGTGGATGCTTGCATCTCAGGCGCGATTAGATTCGAGTTCGCGGCTTTAACACATTCGTTGGGAAACGTCGTTGTCTGGGACGAAAGAGTCTTCAAAGGCGCTAGGGTTACCGATCTACCACTGGAGAGAACGGCGTGTGTTGATCTCTGGCCTCCTCTAAGACGGACGGATTTAGCGCCGACTCGGGTAAGTTAAGATTGATGGTTGCATTGTCGAGTTGTGGTTAGATATGTAATTGCCATCTTGTATGGAGGGCTTCACCAGGAGATCCTCGTTATCGGGTGCATTTGGAAGAGATCGCCAAGGCAATAAGGCACCTATGGAATCGAGCTCCTCCGGGACTGTGTGTGGTGGTTGGCGATTTCAACGTGGACTTGAAAGATTTGGATGTCGAGTCGCATGGCCTGATACACATCGAGTCGGGCTCGTCAACTTTCCCAGAGAGAAGCCCACATCCATCACC